CATTAGTTCTGAGAAGCAGCCTATTATCAAGAACCAATGGTATTGAAGGAGAAGTTCAAGTTACACTGAAGGAATTGTCAAGGAAAGAAGGAAGGAAGGAAGGAAGGAAGGAAGGAAGGAAGGAAGGAAGGAAGGAAGGAAGGAAGGAAGGAATGAGGCTCCAAGAATTGATTAAATGAAATGCCAACTGAGACGTTTTAACAAAAGGATACAACCCCGGAAGCCCTATGCCAAGAAATATGGATGATAACTATGTAGCCAACTGACTGGAAGAGATTCATATCTGTGCCCATTCCAAAGAAAGGTGATCCAACATAATGTGGAAATTGTCAAACAATATCACCAATATCACAAGCAAATAAATATTGCAAGAGATGATGCAAAATAGTTTCAGCATCAACAGAGAACTGCCAAAAATGCAAGTGTGATTCAGAAGAGGACATGAAATGAGGTATATCATTGCTGATATCAAATGGATCTGAAATGGCTGAAAGTTGAAAACACCAGAAAGATGTTTACCTACATTTTATTGACTATGCAGATCTTAACAAATTATGGTTAATATTGAGAAGAATGGGGCCTCCAGAGCCCTTCCTGTGCTCATGCAAAATGTGCACATAGATCAAGAGACAGTCATTTGAAAAGGACAAAGGGACATGGCAAGTTTTAAAAAGAGAACATGTGTGCATCAGGGTTGTCCCTCTTTACTGTACTAATTCCATGTGTTTGCTGAGCATGTGACCCGCAAAGTTGGGCGACATGAAGGAGAACATGGCATCAGGATCGGAGCAAGGTTCCTTACCAGTCTGCCAGACGCAGATGACAGAGCCTTGCTGCTGGAAGGGAAGACAAAGCATTTACTGACGAAGAGCAAGACCTTGTGTGTGGATCACACCTCAACATTAAAAAATCCTCACACCCGGCTCAACAAACAACATCCCAGTAAATGTAGAAAAGATACAAGGTGTCAAGGGTTTCATTTTCCGTGGATCCACAATCAATGCCAACGGGAGCAGCCATCAGGAAGTCAAATGAAATGCTGCACTGGACCAATCTGTTGCACGGGACTTGTGTCGCGCCTGTTGAAGAGCAGGGAGGTCCGTGTGTGCACGAGTGTGCACCTGACAGCCCTGGTACTTCCCATCACTTCCTATGCTCGCCTGCAGAGGTCAGATGATGAATAAGGAAAATAGAAAAGAATTGATAATATTTGAATTAGGGTATTGGCGAAAATATTACATGTACCATGGACTGCCCGAAGAATCGATAGGGCTGTCTAATCTCAGGAGGATTCATCTTGATAAAATCAGGAGAAGCTCTTCTCCTACTTACAGGGCCCCCATGAGTCAGACTGATGACTAGGGCTTTGGTTCTTTGGGTCAGAGAGACGAACCAATGTGTCTTGGAGGAAGTACCGTCAAAATGTCCCTTGGCAGAGAGGACGGTGAGGCTTCCTTTCGTGCACTTTAGATGTATAATCAGGAGGGACCAAGTCCTGGAAAAGAATTCTGCTTGGTTATGCACAGTCAGTTAAAAAAAAAAAAAGGAAGATCCCAAACCAGATACAGTGGCTGATATGATTGCGAGGATGGCAGAGTGCAGTGTTCCGTTCCGTTGTCCACAGGGTGACTGAGTCGGAACTCGTTTGATGGCCCTTAAAACGTGTGTGTCCTTGTGCTGCATGGTGTGGGCCGCTAGGCCTTGTCGTGTTGAGCAGGAGCTCCACAGCTCTGACTGTGCCCTGCTTCCTGCTGAGCTTCGCTCTCTGCAAGCTGACCTCCCACCACAGCCCAGCCTGCAGTAAGTAGCCTTCCCACAGGGTAGGTAGGGCAGCATACCGCAAAGGCACTCCAGGGGCACATCTGCTCATAATTAATCAGATTTCTTCATAAGGCAACTCCACTGCTGTACCCTGCCCAGATTCACACCCTCAAGAGGCTTAGGCCAGCCTCAGACGCTTTTGAAAGCATCCGGTTGATCTGGAACAACCTGCCCCTGAACAGGCCAGGAGCAGTCGCTGGGGAGGCCAGCTGGTGAAGGAGAAGCAGCACACTGTACAGGTGCGGTCGGTTCAATGACCCTCGAGTTTAGGGTAAGGAAGCAGCTCACACACTTCAACAAAACTGGCCTGAGAAACTCGCAGCTACGGCCTGAGATGAACTAAGGCAGTGTTGCATGAGTCTGAAGAGGAATTTATAGACTGGTCTCAGACATATGGGCTAATATCAGACTTATGGACTTGATCTGGACTGGGCTGGTATTGTTTCTTAATATACAATTACTCCTTTATAGAAAGCATTTTCTTACACATATGAGTGACTGTGAATTTGTTTCTCTAGTCAACCCGGACTAACACACTTCCTATGTGAAAAATACTCCAATGTGAAAAATACTGAGTGCTTCAAAGTATGACAAGAGAGAAGGGACAACTATATTTGTGTCGTGGATGAGCTGAAGACTGCCCTGCTCATTTAAAAAATATTATTTTTGGATAACAGTTGTATGAGCCCCTAATAAAATGTTAAAAAAAATAAAAATAAAAAAATAAAAAATATTATTTTCAGGTACTTTGCTTACCTAAGGAAGCTCAATTTCATTCAAATACTTTGAGAACCTTGTTTAAATAAACTAAAGTGAAAAGAAGGGGGGACCTGCTGAATGAGACAAGAAGCATCTAAAGAGGATGAAAGGAATACACAGAGACACTGAACCAGAAAGAACTGGTCCATGTTCATTAGTTCTGAGAAGCAGCCTATTATCAAGAACCAATGGTATTGAAGGAGAAGTTCAAGTTACACTGAAGGAATTGTCAAGAAAGGAAGGAAGG